ATTTATACAAAATTCATTCTTTTGGGGAGGACTATGATAATGCTAATTTACTCTTTAACGCTAAGCTTATCCTTCTCACTAGTGAGCAGTCATGTTTAAGCCTTATGTAGTACAAAGCTACACTATGTTTATCGTTTCTATGATTTCTGGATTTATCATTATAGCTTAAATAATTAGCCCCAACTGCTTGCCCTAATGTTTACGTTAACTGCTACCACGGTTCTTAAACGTAAACAAGGGTATGAGCAGGACAAGAATATAAATAATAACTATTTAGAGGTAAGAAATAAATATAATAAAACAAATAATAATAAAATAATAATGAAATAATAAAAAAGAAAATAGATAAAAATAATAAAAGAAATGTAATATGAGACAGGGTACCAACTTACAACCTAACAGTATTAACCTTCACAATTAAATATTAATTTCTATAATATTTAATTCGCCCATTATACGTATGTATGATTATAATAAAAACATATACTGGCGAATTTCTCTGGTGGTTCTTAAATAAATTCATGTAAAGATTGTTTTTTTTTATTACTTGTTATTAATATTATTATACACTTATCTTGAATCTCTAGTTCATAGACTAATTTTAACATTGAAAAAGTAAGACTGGTTCTATAATATTCAATTATCCAACTGTGGAACGCTTCGAATGCTTCAATTGAGGTGTGAAAGACTTGATCCGAGTTAGGGTTAATTCTTGCTTTGGGTACTTATAAATATTTATTCTACTATTAACTAAAACTTTAATTCTTTCTAATTTTCTTACTAGTCTTTTCTTAGTTACGTATTACGTTGATCTGGGTCTTGATTGTTGATTGGCTTGAGTAAGTATCTTTGATCACTAAATTTAGCACTAAATGGAATATAAATATCTTCAATCAACAAATTTGCTACTTTTATTCTTTCTCTCGATTCACGATACGATTTCTTTAATATCACTGGAATAAACGATTTTGGACAAAATAAAAGCTTTTGAAATTTTGTAATTGAGTTATTTTTTTAATGAAGAAAAGTATCACGATTTTATTTTTACACATAACAGCATAATAATAATATTTTATTCGAATATTGGAATTACACGAATTTTCCAGATTCCAAAAATTTTTGGAATTTGTGTTACATTGAGAGTCACAGTACCTTCTAGCATTTAGCTAGAAATACAGTAGAGAAATACCTCAGGTGGGTCAGCTTTTTAAAGGCAATAGACCTACAGTACAACGTAAGTTTTCACATAAATGAGATTGTAATTATGCATTAACGTTAAAACAGTTATATAATTCAATTTGATCAATTTAAATATATCATACTAAGATTATTAAAATTTATTTATAATAGATATACAGTATAAAGTACATAAGAAAAGAAAGTAAAAATCTATATATAGGAGTAAGGTTACAAAATATTCAATGTAAAGTTTAATAAAATTTATGTAATACTAATGATATTGCTATTTTTTTTTAGGAACAATATTTGTGAAATGGTTTCTGGATTAAGACGAGTTCGCTTTGGAGTTATTTGGTTTTCTGCATCAGAGAATAAACGTTCACTTGGTACTGAAGTAGCTGGAATAGATAAGTACTTTTTTGCTAATTTGCTCAAAGATGGAAAGTCTTTTTCTCGTTCTTTCCACCAAGCTAAAGGTTGAGTTTCTTTTGAGACAATAGGCACTTTATTAATGTTTAAATATTTATCTAGTTCATTATTAGAGGAATTATCATTATTATTATTGTCATTATCAAAAATCGAGGCAAAGTAATGATTAGTTGAAGTTATATTAGAAGGTGTTTGTATAGGTGTTTCAGCAATAATGTTGTTAAATTCTTCACGGCATATTCGGATAGTTTCTTCTCTTAGATCTTCAGACTAAGGGCGCATTTTCTTGAGTCTTGGATCTAGTAAAGTTGATATAAGACTAGTAAATTTTGAATTGCCCCAATATTTTCAAAGTGAACTGTAAATTGCTTGCTTTACTTGAGCAATTGTTGATTGAACATTGAGAGTGTTTTGAGTATAATCTTTCTCTTCATCTTCACTATCACTATCTATATTTGATTCTAAAAGTTAAGTATTAAGATTAATATTTTATGAAATGATACTCGAAGTAATTTAGCAACCTTAAAACAAAAGATAATTTATCATATTCCTCATTTAGGTCATCTTCAATTAAAGGCAGATCTGAATCTACTGCGAATTTGAATTTCAAAAGTTCAATTATAGGATATACAATAGATAATGTCAGATACTTTTCAGCACTAAATACTTCAGTTACTTGGTCAAAAGGTTCAAAAGTTTTAACTAATTCTTCAATTAATTTCTATTCATTTTCATCAGGTAAGTAGTATCTAAGTTTTTGACCATCTTTTTTGTTATCCGAATTCCGTGAAATGTTTAAATTAGCCTCTAACTATATAATTGCATCTTTCAATTTTAGCAACCTTTCCCAAGACCGATATTTAGAATTCCATCGTGTCGGACAATCCTTAATCAGACGAAGGGGTTTGGGAATAACATTTATATTTAATTGTCCTTCTGAATCAGTATTGTCTCCATCATCGACTTCACCAACCTCTTCCTTAAGATAAACTTCCGTATGAATTGAACTGGAAGGAGATAATTGATCTCTTTCCATTACCCATATCTGAGCTTTCTCTAACCTTTCTTGTTGCTTTGGTGAATCAAAAAAATGTACTAATTTTCTTATTTTTTTTGTTTGTAAACGAATTTTCTGCAAGGCAAAATTAACCGTCAATTGTAAAGTGTGCGCAGCATATGGAAGTCGAACAACGGTATTCCATAATCTAATAGCTTTTACCATGTTGGCGCTATTATCAGTGACAGCACATACAACCTTATCTTCAAGATTAAATTCTGTACATTTTTTAACAAGAAATTGATGAATAGACTCAGCAGTATGTGGATAAGATATTTTTTCACAACACAATAACACGCTACTTAGTAACCAACTAGGAGTTACTCAGTGACAGGTAACCCCAATATAACCTTGGTTATTGCATGAGGTCCATAAGTCTGCTGTCAATATGGCAGTCTCACAAGATGATGCAATTTCCTGTCTAAGAATATCGATATTGCTTAAATAATTTGATGTTATTTCATTTTTTATTACTTTGTTAGAAGGTAGATGAAACTTTGGATCAATAATTGCCATCATGCGACAAAATCCTTTTTTTCTTGGTGCCGATAAAGGTTCATTATCAAGAAGAATCCATTCAACAACTCCTTTGACTATTTCTTTTCGCTTATCACCTTTGTGCAGAGTATTAAATTTAATCACCTCTAATAATGTGGTTTGTCGTTTTTGCTGTACTTCAGTTTTTAACTTTTTTTTATCTATGATATTATGGGATCGTAAATGAGCGATCATATTTGATGTTAAATTATCGTGAATATAATCCTTTCCGCATCTTTGGTCTCACCCATTTTTCTTAACTACAACTTGACATACATCTTTTGTTCCAACTACCTCAAAATACTTCCACACGAAACTTGATTTACTTTTGCTTCTTTTTTTTTAGTACTGGTTAACATGTTCATAAGAGGAGTTATATCATTACTACTGGTATTATTATCATTATCACTGTTACTTTCATTAGTATATATATTTTTTATTTGTAAACTCGAACTAGATTCATGAGAATCCATCTTTACTTTGTTTGAAAGTTACAGATAATTGAAATATTACGAATATATGAGTTGTGCTAAGAATAAATATAAGTCAGTTTTACAAATTAACAATGCGTGATAGAAGGTTACAAATAATTTAATGAACATGCGATCATAGAAATATTTAGAATTCGAAATTTATAAATGTGAGGATCTAATTTCAAATAATTATTTAGATTTTAAATCGAATTCTGAAATTTTATTAAGTCAAAAAAGCATCGTTTAAATAGGTTTTTTTAAATATCTAAATTTTATTCATTATTACATATTTTCAATAACAATACAATTTTAATCGCGTAATAATGCTTCTCACATCGAACCATTGGCTTTGAATATATATTAGACTTACTTAGACAAGGCTTAGGAATAATTATACCATTCGACCTGCTTAATCATGCATCTCGTATCGAATTGGTTTGTTAGATGCGTGCTTAACATATTATGCTATTTGATTCTGCATAATTATGCGAATTCGACTTATTTAGACAGGCTTAGAAATGATTATCCCATTCAATCATTTTAGCAATCTGCCTTGGCCAAGTAATGAAATATAGCTTTATATGGAACGATAACTAGATATAGAAGGATAGTTTAGTATAATTGTTAATAATTTAAGCTACTAATTGGGCATATTGCAGGAATAGCGAGAATTCATATATAGGAATGATCTCGTAATTGTTATGACTAGCTCGCATAACCTCAAATTTTAGCCCTTGATTAGCCCTTGATAACATTAATAACATGTTAACCTTTTGAGGTATAGTTAAGCAAGCATTTAGTCGTCTTACTACATTCAGTTCACGGAAGAGATGAAGGTGTAGCTGTACCTATTTTTTATTTTTTTTTATTTGACCTATTTTATTTTATTATTTTACTTTATTTTATTTTATTCGCTTATTCTTTACAGCACTATTTTTGATAGTCGAATTTCTAAATTATTCTCGCAATGCCTTAGAAAAAAATGCTTTTCAAATATATTAAAGACAATTCGGTTAATAGACAACTTAAAACCTTTATTACGCGATGACTTTAATTTCTATAAGGTCCACAACAATTAGGAATACAAAAGATCGTTATTGAGCAAACTGTTTGCTGCGTACTTATTATAAATACAAAAA